CTTGGTTTTTGGTTATTTGAATTTAAATGCAGAACTGAAGGTGTCTCTGGAACTTCCCTAGCCATCCAGGATCTTCCTGCAGAGTTCTCCCCCATGTGCCGGGCTTGGGGTCAGCACACAGGGTGCATTTGCCCAGAAGTCTCATTGAAGCCAGAGAGCAAATCGCTCATGGCAACCTGAAGCCCCTCGCCCGCCCCCAGCCTGGCGGGTCCTTCCGTCCCGCCCTCACCCGATTCCCTCATAGTGAGTGTGCAGTGAAGTTGGAAGAAAAATACAAATGCTCAAAGCCACAATTTCTTCAATGCTTTTCTCTCTATTCCCTCCATCTGCCTTTCGGTCTGTCCGTCTATCACACTAGGCAGTCATGTGTCAACCACAGAGAGCCTTGGAACAGTAATTGTGGAACCGAGAATCTGCATTTCTGCCACGTGTGTGTACGTGTGTGGATCTGCGGGCGTGTGTGTCTGCGTGTGCACGTATGTGTTTGTACAGAAGGGTGAGAGCAGCAGATGAATAGGGAGGGATGAATAGGAATGAGAAGTTTCTTTTCTAGGGAAAGAGCCAGAAATTACATCCGTTCAAAAACACCCTGCCTCTCTCCCAGATAAATATAGCGACATGAGTCGATGTGTCACCAGATGAAACTTTCACAACAAATCCGGAAAGAGTCACTTGAAGGGACTGCCGGTGCTGGCTCTCTCCCCCTTGCCCTCCTGTCCCCCGCGTCCCCATGCTCCCAAGGGCACAGTCAGGAAGAAGAGGGCGGGGGGACGTCTGTACCTGCTCCCCCCTCCGCCAGCATTCTGTCAAACGGCAGAAGCAGGAGCAGTGTGCTCCTTTGTTAAAGGGCTGCTGGCCAGAGGGGCCAGGTTGCCAGATGTCTCCCTCACAGGAGAGAACTCGAGAGGCTACTTCTCTCTGTTATGGGGGGAATGCAAGCTCAGAACAGGAGAGAAGCCCCACAGAGGCATTTTTATCAGGTGCTGTGGCTGGAGCAGGTGATTGGAGTTAAGATCACGTGACTTGGATCCAAGGATGCCATCAAAATCACTTGGCCACCAGTGCGACAGAGGCACCTACCAGCCAGAATGGACTCCCGCCCTCGCCAAAGAGGAGGTACCGGGCCCAAGTACTGCAAGCCAGACAAGACTGGGTTCCTCTTCGACCCACGTGCAACAGACCCTTCCGGCAGCCCTATGAGGTAGCTATAGCCTCCGCATCTTTCTGATGAGGAAACTGAGGATGGGAGCCACTGGGTGACTTCTCCCAGGCCCCGTGGTTGGTGATGCAGAGCTGGACTGTGCTCCTCTGGGAGCACGAGGGAGGGCGGCCCCGCCGGCTCAGCCAGCTGTGCTCACAACGGGGCAGCACTGCATCCCAGTCCCATGGGAACACAGAGCTGCGAGTCCCCTGCAAGTCAGCTCCTGGGGCCATTGCACGGTTGTGAGCGTCACTGGTCTAGCACCATCTCAGCTCCTGACTCAGCCTGGAGCCCCCTCCAAGGGACTCTGCATCTGTCCCTCCAACTCTGCTGTCCCTGGCCACCTCCCTTCCCTGGCCAAGCAAGAGCTACTCCTGGGCTCCGGAGCTCTGGTGAGGTTTCTCAGCATCATTTGAACCTTTGGAGAGAGACAGCCCTGGGTGCAAACGCCACCTTCGCCACCCCCAGGGAAGTGGGGAGAGCAACGTCTCGTATATCAGTTTGTTATGGCAACTGAAACAAATGACCACCAACTTGGTGCCTGAAACAACACAAGTTCTGTCCTCTCACAATTCTAGAGGAAAGATGTCAAAGTCAGTCTCCCTGGGTTAAAATCAAGGTGTCTGCAGAATGGTGCTCCTTCAGGCTCTAGGGGACAGTCTGTTTTGGTGTCTTCTCCAGCATCTAGAGGTGCCTATGTTCCTTGGCTGGTGGCCCAGCATCACTTGGACTTCTGCGTTCATCACTGAGCCCCTTCCTCTCACTCTGGCCCTCCTGCTCCCTCTTATAAGGATGCTTTCGATTCCATGGGTCCATCTGTTAATCCAGGATAATCTCCCCATCCTGAAATCCTTAATCACATATGCAAAGCTCCTTTCACTACGTGAGGGAAAACAGTTCACAGGTTTGTGGATTAGGACATGGGCATCTTTTCAGGGACGGAGCATTATTCAGCCTTCCACACCTCCGTTCCCTCGCTGGTGAAATAGGATGATAATCTGCTCGTCACAGGTCTGCTCGAGGATGAATCATGTTGCAAAGTGCCAGCTCTGTCCCTGGTACAAAGTTGAAAATGAGGTCACAAAAGAGCGTCCACTGCCCCCCTCCCTGACTGTGTCAGCTTTCTGTCCCCAGGCCTGGCTCTCAGTGGGGACTTAAAGTATCGCAGTTGAAATAAACTCCCAGTCCTGATGGATGGCTCTGACCTCCCCAGTGCTGGGCAGGGCTGTTTGCAAACGGAAAGGCTTTGGGGCAGCAGTGGGAGGAATTTGGGCAGAAACATGGAACGGTATGTTCAGGGACATAAACTTCAAGTGGTTTTTGCTGGGAAAATTGAACTGCCAACCATTCCAGCTGCCCCCACATCAACTGCTGTCCCAGGTGGGCAGTCCCCAGCTGAGACCCATTCTGCCTGGGGGCAGCGTGAGGCCCTCCTTGGAGCCAGGCAGCCCAAGTGCTAGGTCCCCTCCCTGCTCACTACCCAGCCTGGGAAGGTGACGACTCTGGCTGCCAGGGGCTGGAGCATGTGGCCAATTGAGGAGCACAGATCCTGGAATTCCCCATCTCCTTGGACGGAAGTCAGAGACTGGGGGAAGGGGTGAGGCTATGTCCTTCACTACAGGGGTGAGGCAGAGGAGGGGCCAGACGTCCAGGACCCCTCCTGGTACTCCCTCCCCCAGAAGGCTACCGCTCAGAACAGTCTAAGCCCATTTTAATCCAACACTTTTTACCAGTAAAACATCTTTCGGGGCACCCGGGGGGTTCAGTCAGTTAAGCATCTGACTCTTGATTTTGGCTCAGGGCAGGATCTCAACGTTTGTGAGTTCAAGCCCCGTGTCAGGCTCTGTGCTGACTGCACAGGGCCTGCTTGGGATTCTCTCTCCCTCTCTCTCTGCCCCTCCCCTACTCATGCTTTCTCTCTCTCAAAAATAAACAAACCTTAAAGAAAAGCAAAACATCTTTCAGCAGGCCCACCAATAAATACTAGTGCTTCCCCAGCAGAAGGCTACCACTCAGAACAGTTTAAACCCATTTTATTTCTAAACCTTATGGTGCAAATTACTGTACCAATATATTATGCACATCAAACTTTCAGAAAGTATAAATAGAGTAAAGTAAAAGGCTATAAATACACACAGATAGGAAATCCACATTTTGATCCTGTGATTATAGAACCAATGAACCAGGGGACACGCCCCACCCAAGGCCGCCAGCAGCAGAAACTACACTTGTATTGGTTGTTCTTCTTTTTCCTTGAATCTTGTTTATTCATAGGTCTGATTCAGTGAGCACCTGTAATGCCAGGCAGGGCTGGTATCTTGTTTCTCCACCTGGCTTCTAGAGTTTCCAAAAGACAGGACAGTTATGTTTCATTTTATTTTATTTTGTTTTATCATTTTTAATGCTTTTATTTTTTTTGAGAGAGAGGCAGAGTAAGAGGGGGAGGGGCAGAGGGGAGACACAGAATCCAAAGCAGGCTCCAGGCTCCAAGCTGTCAGCACAGAGCCCAACACAGGACTTGAACTCATGAGCTCTGAGATCATGACTTGAGCCAAAGTTGGACGTTTAACTGACTGAGCCACCCAGACATCCCTGGACATACTTTAGACAGTGCCAAGTGCAGACTCCACAGTTGGTACATAATAAAGTCATTCAATAAATAGTTTCTGAACACCTACTTTGAGCCCAGCTTTGAGGCAGGCCCAGGAGGTTCAAAGAGCCAGACCTGGTCCCGCCTTCTTGGAGGGAGCCCAACAGAGTACCCGGGGTTTGAACCAGCCTTGGGATGATGGCTTGGGCATTTGAGGCAGATGAGCAAAGGAAGAGCATCAAGCAGGGGAGGCTGTGTGCAGTGTGTGTGCCCCCCCACCTCCGCCCTATGGATGTATTTGGGGAGCTGTCACTGGGCAGTTATGGCTGGAACTCACGAGGGCATGGTGAGGGAGACCAGGAGTTGGCAGGAGGTGGGCCCGGAAGCTTCCAGGTAGGAAGAGTGTATGGTCAGTCCTGCCTCTGAGGCTTTCCCACCTTGGGGCCCACTCGAAGGGCATCTTCAGCACAAGAGGAAAGGGACCAAAGGGCCAGTGAGGAAGCATCTGGAGCATCTGGAACCATGTAGGAAAGCAGCTCAGCCTTCCATCCTCACCAGTGCAACGACAGGAGTGGACCCAGGCCATAGCCAGAGAACCCAGAGGCCTGGGTTTTATTCTGAGGCTAGCCCACAGCCCCCACCAAGCCTCCACTAACCGCCCTGTGAAGCCACCAGGCCTGTAGGTGTGAACTAAGGTCTCGACATGGCTCTAATAAGGAGTGCAAGGAAGGCCTGCTTCGGGGCCAGCGACCTCCACCCCCACCCTCCAGTGGGTCCATGACTCCAAACCCCTTCCCTGCTGGCTGAGGCAGGGGGTTTGTGTTCCTTCAGTTTACCTCAGACCCCTGGGCAGTCTCCCAGAGCAGGGAGAGCTCTGAGCTGAGCTACTCATGACTGCTTTGGGCCAAGGAGCTTAAAATGCTTTCATGGGAACAAACTCCACAGGCCAGGGAAGGAAAATGTGCAGATACTGGACCTCTAAAGTTGGGGCTGAGGGCTGTGCATAGAGAAAAGACCCATAGAGAGGGAGTCAAGCACCTCAAACAATCCACCCTGATGTACCATGTGGCCTGACGCCCAGCAAACTTGCCTGCCCGACCATCTGCCTTGGGCCCCAGACCTCAGTGGTTTTAGGCCTCAGAGTCAGAGGGTGTGGACAGAAGCGGACTGGGGCCGCAGACTGAGCCTCACTCCAGAGGCTGGGAGGAGTTGAGAGAAATATCATTTATTCTTTATTTTCAGGTTGGCAAGAACATGCAGAGTCTGAAGGAACGTGGTCCCAAGGATCAGGCCGCGTCAGGCCTGAGGAGAGGGGTTGAAGGCTGTCAGTGTTGGCTCTGCCCCTGACCCGCTGGGATCCATCTTCTGACTTCTTATCTAGTCACCAAGGGGGGTAGGCTGCATGGCCTCTGGAGTCCCTTCCATCTCTGACTTGCTTGACACTACTTGGGCTCCTCCAAGCTCTGCTCAGCCCTTTTTCATCTTCCAGCCTGAGCCAATAGCCCGCCAAATGGTGGGCCACCCCCAGGTGATCAGCTACCCCAATGGGGTTTCTCAGACACAGCTCACAACTGGCAGTTTCCTTCCCCAGCAGCAGGAGAGGCAGGCTGAGCCCTGTTCCCCACCTCATCTCACCACGGGCCTGGGAAGAAACACCGCCCCCTCCTCTGTTCCTCTGGCCTCCATGGTATTCTGTGAATGAGTCTGAAAACAAACCATCAGAGAGAGAGAAAATAAGCCACTTGTCCCAGAATAGCTCTCTGAAGCTCTGCTGGCAGGCCTCACCCCATGCCTTTGCAGCAGCGACGTTCTGTTATTTTGAAAGAGCAGAGAAGGTCACCTGATGGATCTTTCTGGAGTGTCTCTTGTGGGGAAGGAGCTTGTAGTGTGTGCCTGAGCACAGGGTAGGTCAGGAGTGAGAGTTCTGGTCTTGGGGCAATGGATCAGAGACTGCAGACCTACAATTGAACCCCACAGGCTTCCTTCTGCAGCTTTCCCTGGTGGAGGGACAGATCAAGGGACGGTCTCCAGGCCAGAGGTACTTGAATCATAATCCAGTGAGTAAAATCTGGACAAATGTCCCTCCACACTGGCCATCAGGACTCAGAGCACAGAGTTAAGCACGAAGGGTCTACAGAGCCAGAAGAAAACACCAACCACCATAATAAGGGGGGCGAATTTGAAGAGTTAATATGTCATGTGCTGACAGTTTACATTAGGGCCCGGGGGGCCCATAGGCAGAATTCAAGGAGTCTGTGAAAGGTCGTTACATCTCCATTTTTCACTAAAGTGGACCAACTTTAGCTTTTTGTGCCACGATGAATGCACAGAAGGGACCTCAGACAAAATTAGCTGCGTCTGTGATTTGTCACCAGTAGAACCCACAGATACCGTGCACTTGTTGCAAAAAATCTTAAATTATTGTTTAAGCTCATCACGACTTCAGAATTACGGTGCCTGTCAGGCCTGTCACTAGATCTTGTTGATGTGTTCACAAAGGAGCACGGGCAATACGGGATCACAAATTTGAGGTTTTTAAAAATATTTTGATAACTGCATTTCAATGCAACTGGCTTCCTTTGTAATCGGATATATTCCCCTGAATGCATTTAAAAATTTTGCTCTGAAGAGGGCTTCATAAACTTCACCAGGTTGCCATTAAGAAAGAAGTTAAGGGCCCACTTTCCCTGGATAACTTGGCATCATCCTCCCGCCCAACCAGCCTAGGTTTCAATAGAGCACATCTGCAAATCATCAACCTAATGCAGTCCTCTCTAAGGGTCGTCTTAGAGAAGTGTGGCATCCCTTCCACACTGCCCTGCCCAAGGGAGGTCCCGAGGAAAAGCAGGTCTGGAGTGAAGTCAGGGGATGTCACTTATAAATGCAAGGTAAGGCTTCTGGGTGTGCATGAAAAAAAACAAAACAAAACAAAACAGGAGAGAAAGGGGATCCTGGCCCAGGGTGCTCTGCGTTCCAATACTTACCAGCTGTGTGGCTGCAGCTTTCATCTGTAATCAGTAATAATGGCTCCCACTTTAAAAGGTTGCTTGGGGAATTAAAGGAAACAATGCATGCAAAGAGCTAAGCTGGCTCCGTAAATTCCCCCTGCTACCCTTTCCCTGGGGGAGACGCGGAACCTGCCCCAGGCCCCCTCCAGCCATGGATACAGCTTCCCTCTCAGCCTTTGCCTCAGAGGCAGCCTCCTGATAGCATGAGCTTGGAGCTCGTTTTTACTGTTTTTACCGCCTAGACCTGAAATGCCTCCGTTCTTCCCCTCTTTGCAAACATGTCACTTGGCCTCTCGGGGTGTTTTAGCAGCTGCAGAGCTCACCCGGAGGGCACACACTGTAGCCATTATTTCATCATCTAATAATTAGCTTGACATGTAGAATGGGCCTCAAGGGCTCTGGGATGACAGTGTTGTTTTCAAATGCAAAGATACTGTAATTTTGCATCTGTGCCGGGTGAGACACAAGCAGAAGGGAAAAGTGACCCAAGGCGTGCACAGAGGCAGGTTATTGGGGAGACAATGGAAGGGAGACAATCATCTTCAGGACCACTCGGTTGCACAGTCCCCTGCTTTCTGTGAAATTTGCCAAAGTAGTACATCTGTGCATGTTTTTCCTAAAGACACTCTTCCAAATTTCAGGCTCCACAATACCTAACCCATCCCAGAGTTGTCCCGTGGGTCTGCGGCTGCCTGGAAGTGGACCCCCTCGTACTGTTGCCGTTCAGGACCAGCAAGTAGACTTAGGGGTGCAAGTCAGAGCGATTGCACTTTGGGCTGAGGGGATGTGATGATTCGCTGGAGCAGAAGGGGGCGCCATCCTCAGGGAAGTAGAATTCCCTGCTCTGCCCCCTGTGGGGCCAGGAGACTTGGTGCAGCCACATGATCTCAGAGCCTAGGAGTCCCTCCTCAGTAGATTGCAGCTGAGAAGACTGACCTGCCCACAGTGCATGACTGCTAGAAAGAATAAAGTTTATCTGTTATCTGTCAGTGTACTGAGGTGGCAATGTTGCTGATGATTGTGAAAACACTCAAAACGTTGATTTAAGGATGAAAAGCCCGGAGGTAAATCCCCCACCTCCGCCCCTGGCAAGTCATGGAACAAGGTACATAATCTGTGTGTGCCTCACTTGACTAGGAAATAAAATGGGGAAATGCACAATAGGCTCTCACTGTTATTAGCAGGAGCTCAGGGGCTGGGAGGGGAAAGCAGTCTTCTCCAGCTTCTGCAGCCTCAGATCTCTTAGAGTAGCCCCTGGAACAGATGACCAGGGAAGAGCATGTGGGTGCAGGCAGGACACAGAGGGGAGAGGGGAGAAGTGAAGGAATAGCTCCCGTAGCAACACGGCTGGGCTCTGTCATTACTTCTGTCCATGGCCCAGCATCCCATCTGGGCTCAGAACCCATAGCCCTCTGATACCTTATCTTCTTTTTTCCCTACATCCAATCAGTTGGGGTTTTTAAAACTATTTTTTAAGTTTACTTATTTACTTTGAGAAAGAGAGAGCGAGCTGGGGTGGCGAGGAGAGAGAGAGAGAGAGAGAGAGAGAGAGAATCCCAACAAGAACGGCAAGATCATAACCTGAGCCGAAATCTAGAATTGGATGCTTAACCAACCGCGCCACCCAGGTGCCCCTAGGCAATCAGTTATTAAGTCTAAATTCCTACCCTCAGTATGTGCTGTTTGGTCCCCTCCTCTCTATTTCTACAGGCCACCATTCATTTCTTATCTGGGTGAGAGCCACAGGCATCTAATGCAGGACTTCCAAACAAAAGGGCCACAGGTATGCTGAGAGTTCCATTTCCTCAGCCCTCGGGGGCGCCAGACCAGGCTGGGGAGGCCAGAGCCTCTAGACTGACACATTGCAGGCCTGGGAAACCTCTTTTGTTAATCTCCGTGTACAATTCAAATGTCATCATTTTTAAATGTTGCTTCCATGGGGGAACTGGGGGAAGCACCTCTCTCCCAGGTGCCCCCCTTCTGCCTACTCAGACCCATGCTAGGTTCTCTGGTCAGATTCATCTCCACGGGGTCCAGCTTCAATAGTGCAGCTTACCTTCAGCCTGGCCGTCAAGATTCTGAATGGTATGAAAGTCACTGAGAGCTACCAGAGCAGACAAGAAGACCCCAACCCAGCTTGAGGAGATTTGTGGAGAAAGGCAGGTAGAGAGGATGTCTAGAAAGGTCACTTCTGCTCCTTTGGCTGCAATGGTGGTTCTCAAACTCCACAGTGGACAGGAATGACCCACTGCACTTCTGAAAAATTCAGATTCCAAGACCAACTGCCCCACTAAAATTTTCATTTGATATATTTGCAAACAGCCCCATGAGCTTGCATTTTCAGGAAGCACACTGATTGTGGACACAGGTGTTACACAGACCTTACTTTGAGAGGCAGTACCCAAAATGGTCTCAGCTAACTAGCAGACGTCCCCCTGTCAGCTCATCTAGAAGATAAAACAATGGCACATAGGCAGGAATTTGTAGTAAAAAGCTGGGTTTCAGCCTAAAACCTCAAATCAAACGTATCACTTTGAAAAAATATATATAAGACTAAGGGACCATGAAAATATGGAAAGCAGTTGAAAGGAAGACCATCTGGACAAACCAAAGTTACTCATCCCGGAGAACATTCTCCCAGAAAGGCAAACTGCATGGAAAATATTAAATGTAATCCTAAAGAAAAAAAAAGTCTTGAAATTCTGGAAAGAAATTATTTATAATCTCTAACGAAGGCAGCCCATTGGGCAGACAAATGCAGCAAACTTTTCTCTCAAATGTGCCAAGATGGAAATTATACTGAAGACAAAAAGCACGTATGTGGCTGAATACTGGTGGGGGTTGGGGGGAGACAGGCATGCTTTCCTTTAGGTTTCCAGAGTTGCCAGAACTTTCTTCACGGCATTATGATCTTCAGTGTGGGCGATGCCTCAGCAACAATTCCGGTCAGCTCAGGGACCTGTCCCCTTACTCAGCTGGATGGTTCCTCAGGCTGTCACGACTGCTTCTAATTCCCAGATGGAGGCATGGTATGCTTACAAGAATGGCAGGAACTCATCACGCAAATGGCACTGAATGTTTGTAATGCAGACTGACTTGAAAACATGGATTGCCTCTTCACCATGACTTGGGAGGGATGTTTGGATTTTCCATCCCTGCCTCCCCCCAGCCTCCTCGCACACAGCAAAATCCATTTTCTCACAGTTAAAAACTCTGCCTGGAGCATGGAAGGGGAGATTCAGGACCTATTCTGGGTTGCTAATAGGCTGTGGTAAAATAGAGACCCAAGAGTGACTGCAGCTTCCTTCAACCAGGTCAGAGGGGCCAGTCCTTCCTCTTTGCTGGAGGAAGATGGGGAGGCGGTCCTGGAATGGACAGCACTGTTGGACTTAATAGACCTGTTTTGGACTGGTTCAACAGCAATGGGGTAAGTACCCACTGGCACTTTCCCCAGAGGAAGCGTGGGGTTTTTTGGCTTGTATCTCCCTAAGATCTCAGCAAACTGGCTCAAGGGTGATGATTCAGGAGGAAGCTGAGAACCAGCGTGAGGAAGTGTTTAGTGAAGAAGCCTGTTTTCAGCTCTTGTGTGAAGCGCTATTTTTAACTGGGATAAAATATCTGTCAATGAAAGAAACACAAAAGGCTCAATTAGATCCTTTTAGAGGTGTACGGAACACCCCTCTTGGCCAAATGCAGAATGGCCAAGTATTAAACATTGAGCTGGAGCCAAATGTCGCCATTATAAATACCCCATGGGATACAGTAATAAATATACAATTTTTTATGTGTAATTATTGCTGTGTTCTTATTGTGAAAATGTTTAACATTCAGATTTCTAGCTTGACTTTGTGGCGCAAGAGCAACGGCGTGGCAGCTGTGACATGACTCTGACCTTCACATCATGACACACATTTACAACACTCTCCGGGACACTCAGCTTCACTTCCGAGGTCGCTCTGCCAGCACGGACTGGTCCTGATGGCCACATCGGCCAGCCTATCAAGCTTTCCTTTTTCTTGAACTGCAAACAGCTAAAGACAATTCCCCTTCCAAGTCCTGGATGTAAAAAAGTCTTAGCCAGGACTTCTTGAAATATTCATGGCACATATGAAATTAAATACCTAAAAATTAAATGTAACACTTATGGGTTAACTTACTATTACCAGTGCTTATTATAAAACAAAGAATTCTATCAAGATCAGAATCGTAAGCTAATTGAATCTATTATTCTTTCTTGTGGTGTTAATGTAATTGTTAAAACAGCTCTCCAGGTGGCCATGATCAGATCCACCATCCAAGATCATCTCACCACGTGGGGGCTCAGGGAGGGACGGAGCGGGAAGCCTCAGGCATCAGTCCTGAGTGGGCTTGGAGCACAGAGCCCAGCTTCTCGGACGCTGCCTGCCACCGGGTGGGCTTTATGTATAATTATTTGCTGCCTGGCTAATTAAGGTATGGAAAGAGATACAAGCCAGAGCCGAGCAAAGAGGCATCCGCACCTGAAGGCTATGTATGCACTAGGTAAGGTAAGTAGAGGGGGCGGGTCTAGAGCAGGCAGGAGGGTAAAGTCAATCCTGCTGGGAAGCCACGATGCATACAGAGAAGACGGCACAGGAGGGAGGCTGTGACAGGGCAGGGTGGCCACAGGTGGGGGATGAGTGTCCTGGCAGGCAGGTCAACAGGTGTCCCGAGAGCAGGAGACATGTAAGGGTCACACGGGGGACACAGAGTCTCCGGAGCAGGACTGCAGACCCCAGCCAGGGTGAGTTTTAGAAGAAACAGAACCTGGGCGGGCTGTGAAGACCCAGAGCACCCAGATGACAACTAGAACAAGAGCTGGAGCAGGGTTTGGCCCCGGGAAGATGGCCTGTTGGTAAATGTGAGCTGCAGACCAGGCTGCCTCTGCAGCAAATTCCCCAACCCACTGAACTTTCCACTCTCCCCGATTTAGGATAGAATCTTCCCAGGGACACCACAGAGATGGGCCTACATGAAGCTGATCCAGCGGTCCCAGGGAAGGAGGAGCTTGGGAGGCTCTAGAATCATGGAGTCACACAGTCCACAGCTCTCCGCAGAGAAGGTAAGCCTAAGCTTTACAAGTCCCTTGTACAATCGTTTGAATGTAATCAGCTGTCCTAGGCCCTGAACACTTTAAATGATGATCATCTGACCAACAATGGTTTGGGGAGATCTCCCCCCATGGCTAGCATTTTGCTTCTGTTAGTGACTGGAGGCAGGAAATGGCCACCGAACAGACGAATTTATACTAAGTCTGCATATCCTGTGGCAAAACAAGGTTGTAAGAGGGCTACAGCCAGAAAACGCTGCAGACGAGAACGTAGTCGGGGAGGAGGCGCATTGTGCCTTGGGGCTGCAGGAAGTAAGTCCTAGGAGTAGGGAGAGGGGAACATTCTACCCCTGATAACCGAGGGAAGGAAAAGGGAATTCCTCCTTGCCTGGTGTACTCACTGAATTCCATCTCCCGGGTGAAAGCCCTGAGGCCCAACAAGGTCAGGGTCAGTTAGTGGTAGAGTCCAGTGAGCAAGGGCATGCCAGTCCAGGAGCCCAAGGTCTTCCTTCATGTGAAAGAGCTGCATTAGTTTCTCCTGCTAAGTGGAGAGTTCGCTTTGGCTTTATGGTGAAGGTTTGGGCTAGTTTGGTTTGTTTGGCCTTTTTCTTTTGTTTTGATTTTTAATGTTTATTTTTGAGAGAGAGACAGAAACAGAGTAGGGAGGAGCAGAGAGAGAGGGAGAGACAGAATCTGAAGCAGGCTCCAGGCTCCAAGCTGTTAGCACAGAGCCTGATGTGGGGCTTGAACCCACAAACGGTGAGATCATGACCTTAGCTGAAGTTGCACACTTAACCAAGTGAGCCACCCAGATGCCCTTTTGTTTCATAAGGGTTCCTGAAGGAAGGAAAGGGGAGGAAATGGCATTTTTTTTTCCCTCCAGTCGTAGGACCAGTTTTGCACTCACAGAGGCGAGAAGGCCCCTCTCTGTGCCGTGCCCGTGAGCGAGACCCGCTGTTGTCTCCTGTGGTTGTGTCCCTCCCCACAGGCCACTGCTGTTGTACTGATTTCCTGCAGTTACAGTAAGTCGCCGCAACTTCAGCAGCTTAAATTGACCCAGATTTATTATCCTAGAGTTCGTGGGTCAGAAGTCTCACTGGGTATCGACAGGGCTGTGTTCCTTTCTGGAGGCTCAATGGGAGTCTGTCTTCTTGCCTTCTTCAGCTTCTAGAGCCTTCTCTAGAGGCCACTGACGTTCTTTGACTTGTTGCGTCTTCCATCTCCAAAGCCCGTCAGAGGCCAGTCGAGTGTTTTTCACATGGCACCACTGTGCCCTTCTCTTCTGCTTCTGTGGACCCTGGGACAGCTGAACGTGACATGTCACAATGTGACATGTTCTCAGGTTGCTGGTATTAGGACGTGGGCATCTTTGGCGGGTCACTGCTCTGCCTGCCATGTTGCCAAGGTCAGAGGATTGAATATACTCTATTTAACAATCCACTGGCTTGGTGTATAATTTTAAGCATTGGAGATCTGGTGTGTGGGCTTCTGTCTGTGTCCTGGCCCCAAGTGCTAGGGCTGCTTGGGTGGGGCAGCGGCCATGGGCGGGGGTGGGGTGGGGAATGGGCTGCAGTCACTTTCAGCACGTGGGCGAGCACCAAGGACTCGCCTTTGGCCAGCAGCTGCCCCCCTGCACACAGCATCCAAGGTTACCCCAGCCTGTCAGCCTCCAGCAAAACGTGTCACCTTCATCATCTTACCTCTGACTCCTGACACTACTCTTCTTACAATACCGTTCCTCCCAGTGGATCTCAGTTTCCAGGTCTTTCTGCCTTTTACTTTTACAGAAGAAGGGTAGAAGCAAAGGAGGCAACCTCCAGATGATCCCAGCTCCGGTAGTACAGACACATCAAAGGACGCCAAGCCCCTCAGGAAACCAGAGCATGGCTTACATCATCCTGCAGCACATCAGTACATCGCTAAGCAACTATGGGATCAACACCTGTTTCCATGGAGATGTCACTTCCTTGCCACCCTCCAGGCAGAGCAGAGGAGCGCATCCAGGAGGAATGAGTATGCTGGGCTGTGCCAGAGAATGACGGAATCCAGTAGCAAAAGCCTATCGTCAAGGTGAAAGGCTGAGGAGAGAGAGTTCTAGAATGAGGACAGGCAGGAGGACGGGCCATGGACGGGTCCGTGGGGAATGACTGGCCAGAATCAGCCCCGGATGCACATCATCTGGCCCACCCCTCTCCACGTAGGGAACCACTGAGAGAGGCCTCGGAGTCCTGTCCAGTCCTGCACAATGAACGGTTTGCAGGCTGAGCTGAGGCTGGAACCCAATGATTGTGCCTCCCTGCACAGGGCGCATCCTGCGTGAAGGAAGGCGCTAAGGAGCAGGGATCCTTTTTGTGCTGTTGGTTCAGGCAAGCAGAGATGGGTCTTGCCCTTTGGCTCCATGTTCTGGCCCAGCCTTCCCTGCATAGCACCTTCCTGGGTCATGGCTCCCACTCACCTATGACACACCGTGTTGCTGCAAGGTGCGCGCTTCGAAATGACCCTAGCAGAGGGGAGTGGAAGGGAATGGACGCTTACCGAGCACCCGTGATGCGCAGGCATTTGCACCATGTGCATTTTACAAGGAAGCTCAGCCAAGCCTCAAATTGTGTTAGAGCCTATTTTACAGGCAAGAAACTGGTACTCAGTGAGGTGAGGCGGCTTATTCAACAGGATGATAAGAGATAATAACAAACTTTCAGGATTCACTTATTCTGTGCCAGGCATTGTTTTCTGTGCTTTACAAATATTAATTCATTTTGTCCTCTTACGAAATCTTTCAGGGATGGAGGCGGATTATTATCAATCCATTAATATAAGTGGCAGAGGCAAGCTCTGTAGCCTGAGGTGCCCTTTCTACTGTGTATGCTGACCCCCACTATCAACACTGGCGATAACAGCTCAGGAAGTGCAAGGTCAGGCACACGGGAATGAGCTGTCAATGGATTGGATGTTCAAACAGGATGCCACGTGGTATTCCTCCCCATGTCCCAGAACTGCAGCCGAAGACCAAAGCCAAGGGTAAAAGGCACTAAGGGCCCCATGTTCTCAGTTCAGAAATCCACCAGCAGCCCCCCCTCCCCAGACTCAGGAAGAGAACTGTCTCCCACCAAACATTAAGTGCTCTGCCCATTCAACCCGTCGGCAGTGTCAGAAGGGGAAAGAAGAGTCCTGGGGGAGGACAGGGGAGGCAGGGCCTCCACAGGCTGGTAGAACTCATGGTGAGAGGCTCCTCCCCTGCAACCTGGCAAGAGGATTGTCGCGACTCCCTGGTTACTTGAGGGTCTGAGTCAAGGAGAGGAGGCTGGCCTGTTCCAAGGCTGGACGATAAGGGGAGACTTGGGGCATGCTCTGGGAACACTTGTCTGATGTAGGTCCTCCCCCACTATGGGAGAGAGGAGGGTGCATGGCAGTTTCCACTCACCCCCCTAGACTAGTGTCTACCTCTAGTCTAGAGGTTTCCAAAGGCAGAGGCCTGGTAACTCTCAAAGTGTCTGCATACTACTTCGTAATTCCTCCTTCCTGCCTTCCCTAGTCTCCACCCTCAATAAAACATTGATTCTGTGTTTTCATCACTATGGATTAGTTTGTGCCTTCTAGAATTTTTTGTAAATATAGTCCTAGATTATGTATTCTATATTGTTTAGCTTCTTTCATTCCATGTAATTATTATGAGATTTACTCCTGTCCATTCCCTTTCATTGCTTAGTAGTATTCCGTTGTGTCCACACAACGTGTTTATCTGTTCACCCATTGATTATCTGTTCACCCATTGATGGATATTCATTACAAATAAACTGCTGTACATATTTGTGCACAAGTGTTTGTTGTGGACATATGTTTTAATTTCTCTTGGGAAGTGCCTCACAGTGGAAGGGTTGGATCACATAGACACTATAGGTTTAACATCTTAAGAAATTATCAAACTGATTTACAGGGGCACCTGGGTGGTTCAGTTGGTTGACTTTGGCTCAGGTCATGATCTCCCAGTTTGTAAGTTTGAGCTCCACATCGGGCTTGCTGCTATTAGTGTGAAGCCTGCTTCAGATCTTCCTTCCCCTGCTCTCTGCCCTATCCCCTCTTGTGCTCTCTCAAAAATAAACATTTAAAAAAAAAAACAAAAACGATCTCCAAAGTGGTTGTATTATCTTATATTTTTACTGCTAGTGTTCCAGTGTCTCTGTATTTTCACCAAAACTTGATATGATCAGTCGTTTCCATTTTAGCCATTTCAATATATGTGCAGTAGTTTCTTGGTATAGTGGTTTTAGTTTGCATTTTAACGTACTTGTTTTAATTTGCATTTACCCAGTGCTTTATGAGGAGGAACACTTTTTCTGTGTTTATTGGCCATCCGTGTGTCTTCTCTATTGAGGTGCCCAAGTCTCTTGCCTGTTTTTAATTAGGTTGTTTCTTATTCCTGGGTTTGAGAGTTCTTTTTATATTCTGTATACAAGTCCCTTATTAGATGTATGCTTTGCAAATACTTTCTCCCAATCTTTGGTTTACCTCTTTAGTCTCTTAATAGTATTTGATGTTGATGAGGTCAAATGTATCAATTCTTTTGTTCATGGACTGTGCTTTTAGTGTCATATTTTTAAAAAAATCTTTGCCAAATGCAAATTTACAAAGATTCTCTCCTGCTTTCTCCTAGAAATATTGCTGGTTTAGGTTTTACATTTAGTTCTATGAATTGTGAGTTAATTGTTGGATATGGTATGGATTGGAGTCTGTTTTCTGCACAGGGATATCTGATTAGTCCAACACCATTGAAAAGTAGAGTCTTTATCCTGTATTTAATTTTGAATAGTTTCTATTGCTAAGTCTTGAAGTACTCACATACTCTTTTCCATGACCCTCCACTGGCTGCTCTCAGAAAGATTGGGGGAAGGCAGAAGACCTTATGTTGGTAGCAATAAGCTTGAAACCCAGGTAATCTGCCTTGGAGGATGGGCACAAAGCCCCATTCCTATCCAGGACTCTTTTACGAGAAAGAGCCATAAGCCACTGGAAGGGCAGGAAACTAAATACCGAGGCAAAAATCCATTACCTCTGGGAGAAAATAGAAACACACCCATTTGACATTGGAGGCCTTTCTCTTCCCTGTATACTGCTGGTGAATGACAAGAGACCACTCAGTTCCAGGACCCTGCATTGATATAAAGCAGAGGTCTACCATTACTGGGGTTGGGGGAAGGGGGAAGGCAGGAAGCCCTTCCTTGCCCAGGATGTCCCACAAGTACACGTAGGGTTTGGCTTCCACAAATGTGACAGGTTAGAATAGTGAAAGCCAAGTTCACACAGTCTGCCTAGGACAAAGGCAAGATCAGAAACCCTAGAACCCTATCAACTCCAACATGAGCCTCACACTCAGTGCTGAGCAGTAACAATCTATAGCTGGGGAAGAATATAGAGAGTCTCCCCCTATGATTCAGGCACACAGGACCTGAACTATTGGTGGGTAGGAACACTGAGAAAACATTTGTAGCATGCAGATCTCATACTAAATACAAGAGAGCAGCAGCCCAACCCTGGAGGAATTTGAAGTCTGTGCTGCAATGAGCTAAAGTGTAACAATTACAAAACTAAAACTCAGCACAATTGCTGATTATATTTGGTTCAACTCCACGTGCTAATAGCCTTGCAGAAAAAAGAGGGATCCCTGCTTCCTGTCATAAATTCTATTTACCTAAGTCTTTACTGTTATTCTATATATAATATTTAGAACACATTTATAAGTTATAAACACAGACACACAATTAAAAGACATAAACAGAAAATAGGAAAAAATACCAGTGTATTATCAAGAGATAAAACAATTCACAGAATCAGATTCCAAGATTATACAAATGTTGGAACTATCAGAGGCTTCTAAGTAATTATGATTATTTTGTGGAAAAGGATTTAGTAGAAAAGTTGGTAAACATAAGTGAACAAATTGAGAATTTCAGCAGAAAGATATAAACAGAGTTAAATATCAATTTAAAAAGATGAAGAAATTGTCTGGTAGCTTATCAGCCGACTATATACCACAGAGGAAAGAAGCCGTGAACTTAAAGATAGTTCAATCAATAGATATTATCCAAATACAAATTAGCAAAATAATGGGAACAACCAGAAATGAGGAAAGCACCCAACAGTTATTGGCAATGTCTGTATCAATGATCTAAAATTGAGAGATCCAAAAAGAGAGAAAATGGAACAGAGGAAGTATTTGAATATATAATGTCCAAGAGTTTTCCAAAATTAATTAAAAGCAACAAACTATAGTTTATAGTTCCATGAAATTCAGAGAACTCCCCCCCCAGCAAGGATAAATTTAAAAAGAAGACAAAATAAACAACAACAACAAAAAACCCCTCAAACTGCGGAAACCCAAAGATACAGAGAAAATCTTGAAGGAAAACAAAGGGGAGAAATATGATATGTATAGGAGGAAAAGGTTTGAATTACAGCAGACTTTTCTTCACAAATTCTGCAATACCAGAAGTTAGTACAACATCCTTAAGCATTTGGTGGTGAAAAGAAACTGTTTAATACCACTGAAAACATTATACCACTGAAAATTTTATACCACTGAAAATATCTTTTGAAAACAAAGGCAAAATAGACTCTCTTTGAGACAAAGAAACCTGAGCAAGTTCATTACCATCAGATCTACACTATAAACAATATTAAGGGAGGTTTTGCAGATAGAAGGAATACGATATCAGATGGAAACTTATATCTGAATAAATAAATGGGGGTGCCTGGGTGGCTCAGTCAGTTATGTGTCCAACTCTCACTTTCAGCTTAGGTCATGATCTTGCAGTTCATGAGTTTGAGCCCCAAACTGAGCTCTGCACTGACAGTGTGGAGTCTGCTTAGGATTCTCTTTCTCCCTCTCTCTCTGCCCCTTC